GTTGAAGGTGTGAAGAAATTTATTTCTATCAATGGAACAATATTTTTGATATTACTAAAAGCACATAATTACTAATAGGACTGTTATCAAAGCACATTTCTGTATATTAAACTTTTTTTCCATATATTTTGTATGACACGTTTCTTAGAGATGACATGTTTACAATAGGTGTCTGGTGACACTTGTGATCAGTGATGCAGGTCTGACTCTTAAGACGTGCTTTATTGTCCCCTTCACGCGGTGGAATCCCCTGCATCGTGTGTTACAGAACGGCACCCTGCCGAGACTTGATTTCAAGCATCGCGACATTTCGTTCCACCTCAGTAGAGCGCTGTGCAGCTAATCTCCCAATGAGACGCTATGTTTACAGTAAGAAGCGGTGTGAACATGTGGGAGACTGAGGTTATTGTTGGTGTGCAAAGTCGTCACAGGGTCCGGCGCGGTCCTACTGTAAGGAAGTCATCTCTCCTCTTATTGTCGCTCCCTAGGAGTTCATCAATTAGCCTGCTATCACAGATAACATTGACTTAATGAACCGTTACTTTAACTAGAATATTACTTCCCTTCTCCCAAATTAATGAGGCCTCTAATTGTCCTAATTTGCGTCTGAAACCCCGGCATTAAGATTTGTCTCTTTGCTCTCTAGAACCACCTCCGTAGCTTCGGGTGTGTGAGGATAATTACAGAGTAGACTGCTCCCAACATCAAGAGGTTCACTGTTCCTGGTGCACGACTGTGTGACAAAAAACATGGAGACGCTCTATTGTTAGGGAAGGAAGGAGTCTAATTAAAACACAAGAGAAACGGTGGCTCACTGTATTGACCGCTCAGCTCTAATGGGTAGGCGAGGAAGGAAATCTCACTCCAAGTGTCATGGTGGAGTTAAACTCATGTCCAGCTGCTTGTACACTGTATGGCCTACAGTATTAACACATGCTGAAAACAATCTAAAGGTATAGTCAGGGTTGGATGGATAGGCTACAGGGGATGCAAGCCTGGGAAGTACATACATGGTTGAAGTTATAATGTAGCTGTTATTATATTACCATATATGTCAAAAGCCATACTGTCTTTGATCATAATATCCTAATATCTCCCTGGAAAGATAGAATGTTATACTGTTTATAAAAAAAAAATCTATAATCCCGATATATAAATATAAACAGCATTTTCAAGAAATTAGACCCAATCACCAACATAGGTTTAAGTCACAGCAGGTTAAGTGAACAAAACAAATGTCAAATTCGTTCACATGCAAGCACACAATTCAACCTTTAAATGGAGCATTTCTTTTGAGAAAATTCTCCTCATAATTACTACCAGCTTACCTTGTTCTTTCAAAAGAACTTCCTACAAAATTATATAACAATAATCTATTAATATAATACGCAATTAGGGACCCATACAATAAAGCGTTAACATAATTTTGCAGCCATATGTGGCTTGTATGGATGTGTCATATGTGTTTCAGTGAGGTGTTACAGTGTCTTGAACAGGTGGATAATGAAACAGAGACACAATACTTCAAAGTAAGGCCTTTAAAAAATAGTGTTGAATTAATTATAGATTGCTTGAGGCCATGGTTCCCCAACTGCTGTTCCCCAGGGATAATTGAGGAGGGTTTAAGGCATCCCCAGTGAAAAGAAGACTGGTTTTTATTTCACTATTAGGTCTGCTTCATTTACTAGAAATTAGAACAATGACACAATGTATTATCATTGGAACTACTCTCTGTCTCTCTCTATTCTCCAGCCAACGAGTAAAGAATGAGATGGATCAGAGAACCCCTGCCAAAATATGGGTATTTTACATTGTTCAGCTGCAACCATACAGCGTGATGAGTTTAGAGGCATTTGTACTTCCCAACCTTCTGAGTTGTTACACTACACACTGTAGGCGGTTATAGTTATTAACAGTTGAATGGCAGCCATGGAAGTTGTGTTGACACAAGTAATCGCTGCTATGGTTGGCTGCTTATGTTTAGGGTTTGAATTATTAAGAGGCACAATAAGTAAATACGCAGTTGGCACAATCACCAACGTCATGTGGCAGCTGCAGTAATGTCTACAGCTCTCTGGTTAGAGACATATTGTGAAACCGGTGGTCAACTTAGTTGAGAAATTGTTGTGGCATTTTGTGCGCCTTATCGTTCAGATGGTGACGGCATTGCAACATGTATTGTTGTATTAGTAATGTAGCCTCCCATACAGTAAAGTGTTACCGTTACATTCATTTGACACTACTACACAGAACATACAGGAACTCCTCACTGTGAACACACCACTCCACCGGTCTGGGTTTTATTGAGCAATATTGTGGGAACGGGGACCAAGGCAAATATTCTGAAGGAACCCTGACTATAGGCTTAGGTAAAACCTGATGAGGCTAATTTGCTGTTACTAGTGGATGTGGCTATAACATTTAGGCCATAGCTGCAGGTGGTGACAGCTTTGGAGAAACTAAGAGGGGGGCAAAATTTGAGAAGCAGGTTAAAAAAACAGCTGGGATGCAGCTGCTTACATGCTGTTTGCAGATGTGAATTATTATATTTTTTTTTTCCACTTTTCTATTGGTTATTTACAGTTACTGAGGAGATTACCATCCGCATGTTTTTTTCTTTCAGTGATTTACCTGTAGCTTAGAGTTGTTTTGCATTATTTTCACATTGCAAACTGTTGACCACTAGTCTCTGGGTAAACAACAGCATAAATTCCTCAGCTGCTGTTACTTTAACATTGTGAGGGAAACACCACACTTTGTACACCACTAGATTTATTTGTGAGCCAACAGGTACAAGTTACTTTGCAGACATAACATACAAAACAAATGATGAGCTGGTAAAAAGGAAATGATTCAACAATATTTAAAGCAGTTCAGAACAGCCCCACCTCCACAAACCACAACATTAAAATGCTGTGTACACATTAATGCATTAGATTTAACCATCAAATGATATGAAGTGTTATAATACAACAAGTACATACTTCAAGTACATTTTGCTGATGATATTTTCACTTTTGTATTGTATGGTGTATTGTAGCATTGTGTTATACTGCTTTATCTTAGGTAAATACTTCTTCCACCACTGCCCAACAATAATAATGGCAATCGCTTACAGTCAACGCTTTCATTCGTAATAGGGAGGGGAAATTTTGCATTTATGACCCCCAACAAGGCTTTGGACCAGCACTGAAAGTTGCCATAACTCGCCAGTTGACAGCGATCTCCCCCTCCTCCCTCCCTCCCTGGCTGCTTGGTGGGACACATCAGTCTCCCTCTTGCTGCAGGTCAGTAGAAGTTGACCTTTGAAATGTTCCTCACACCTCCTCGGCCTCCGCTGCCACTCCCCCGCTCACGCCCCGCACCAGATGGGAAGTGTAGCCGCATTTTTAAAGCCTGCACGCAGGGTTACAGGCTGTTGCGCTGGCAGTGGGGCTGAAGGAATGAAATATTCATGCAGCCCCAAAAATGAATGGACACCCCGGGACGGAGAGCGTGCCGATTTATTCAACTAAGACCAGGCCTCGTTAAACTGCTGGCGGCGAGGCAGGTCACGGTGATTTTCTTTACCAGTGCTCGACCCCGACTGTCACACACACACACACACACACACACAAAACACACACAGAGAGAGAGAGAGGGGCACTGAATGCAAAATGTGCCCAAGTCGCTATCACCACACAACATCTCAGATCTCCCTCCGGACAGGTCTGCGCTGCTGCTGGAGAGGTTCCTTCTCCTGTAATTGATGACCTAATGAGTGATTAGCTCTTGTGTCAGGGCAGCGAGAGTCAGTGTGGAAGCTGAGCTGTCGCTGTGCGCAGCATATGGGAGACGTGGGTGACACTGGCTGTGACAGAGGTGTGTAGCTTGCGTGGGGTGCCAGGGGACACCAGCTGATAGGCACAGGGCAGGGGCCACGTGACTATAACCAAAATTTGTAGCCTAATTTATCTTCCTTGATTTGGATTAGATTTGGATAAACTCTTAATCCTATAATAATAATAATACTAATACAACAACTACAACAACTACTACTAATAATAATAATGATAATAATAATAATAATATTAATAATAATAATGATGATGATTATAATAATGGATGGTTGAACGTTTTCCAGTATGACTTATGCATGTTTTCCTAGATGATCCATAAATTACCTTCAGACATCTTATCAGTTATCATGGCTCTGCTGTAGACAGGTGTGTCTCAAGCCTTGTCTCCCACCTGTTGGTTTTATTGTTGCTCTGCAAATAAGATCGTCCAGCTTTTACTGTTTGTTTGAGAACAAACCTCAGCCCTGCCAGATCCTTTAAGGGTTAGACCCAATTAAGGACTCAGTTCCTTTGCTCATGAGAAAGATGTCCAAATTCATTTTCCATGGACTGGGAACACTGGCGGAGGTCCATGGAGAAGGAGGAGGAGGAGGAGGAGGAGGAGGAGGAGGAGGATGATACAACTTTGAATGATAGTGTGTGTAAAAATGGATTTAGGGAATAACAGATAAGAAAACTCCTCAAGCTCGAAAGTTGTTCAATTTCCCAATAAACGTTAATTTATATATTTCTGGAAAACTTGAAGGGTTTAGCCAACAGACATGAAGTCTAGACTTTACTGCTAAGTTCATTAGATCACGTCCTCTTTGGGGACGTATAAGCCACGCTCTTAAATGATTAATACTCCGGGTTCCCCTCTGTGTGAGGATAATAACAAGGTCGTGATTGAGTTACAATACACAATAGGAGAAAAAAGTCGCGCTTTGTCTAATTGTTCTTTGACAGGGTCAGAGGGGATTGTGCGATTGGCTGCTGCCTCCTGAGGCTGCAGCGCTGTCAGAGCTGTCTGAGGGCTGGGAGTGACACCAAGGTGACTGAGGGGAGGCTGGAAAAGTATAAATTGCTGGCGCAGTGCAACCCGTTCCAGAGACGAGGGCATCAGCCAGAGTCTTCTGTGTGACCTTTATTCCCTGCCGCGCACGACCACAGGCCATTACAGTGATGACCGCAAAGGCAGAGCTTTCAAGCTGGCAAGAGTACCCAGAGGATTTCACCGCGCTGCAGCAGCGCAGCCTGGCCCACATAAACTCCAAATGTTGGATTTCTTCAAATTCAATCCGTGCGTTCTCCCGGAGGGATGCGCACGGAGCTCCAGAGGCAGGCATCTCACTGCATGAGAAACTTGTGCCAACCAGTAAACTGCCTGACTGCGTGTCCGCTGCAGGCATCACAGAGACAGACTGTGAGAAGTCAGCTGAGGGAGGCAATGCGAGCCACTTTGGCCCCCAGAAACACAGGCGCGTCGCAGCCAACGCCAGGGAAAGGAGAAGGATGCACGGCCTGAACAAAGCGTTTGACGAGCTGAGGAGCGTCATCCCTTCCCTGGAAAATGAGAAGAAGTTGTCCAAATATGACACCCTCCAAATGGCGCAGATTTACATCAACGAGCTGTCGGAGCTCCTGGCCGGCGTGGTTCAGTCGGAGTGCATGGGTCCAGCGGACAAGAGCTCCAGGAGGAGCCTAATTCACTCTCTACGGCCTGCAGCCAGTGCGCAGGAGCAGCTGACCGGAGAGCAGCGGGATCACCTTATCATACTCGGACCTACATCCGACCTGGGGACAATTAAATCCACAGCCTCTTCCCACAGCAGTGATGGGGAATCCTCGCATCTCAGCGACATGGAGGAAAGTCAGAACGGGAGACAGTAACAGAGAACACTGGCCACTGACTATTGACTCTTTACACCGCAGTGTCTGTTATAGGAAGAACCGGGAGAACCAAATATTACAGCTTGTAGAAATGTTGATCATGTGCTAGTCCATCATATATTCTCCTGTCATAATTTATAGCTTAGATGTTGCACTGCCAAATGAAAAAAAAAAAAACAATACAGGAAAAACTTGTTTTTACTTCCCAAGGCCATGATGAGCTCCCATAGGCCTTTTTATGCACTTTATATGCCCTGAACATCATTAATGACATTTTCATGTGTCATTAGTGACAACTGTCTAAATTAAAAACAATTATTTTGATATTTATGTTTAGCTATGGGGTATTTTATAAGGGCTGTTTTGCTAAAATAAAGACATAGTTAAGAAATGAGTGCATTTCAAATTATTTTTGTATGTTTCATACTGAAGTCAGCAAGACGTTGTATACTGAGTCAATGATATTTTAATATTTCTACCATGTGAAGCAAACCGAAGTGTCCATGTACAAAAAAAAAGCAATATTCACACTTGGGTATTTCGTCTTTCTGTATTGCAGAAAAACTCTTGATTTACATGCAGCATCCATCTTAATTCACTTTAAAAAGGAAGTAGAAGAACAAACATAATCTAGAGGAAGCCTCAAAAGATGTCATGCAACTCACTGACTGTCACAAGGAATCATGATATTTTTTTTCTAAACTGTTTCCATAATTAAACAGTCAAACAATCAGGTGTTCTCTCTGCTTATCAACTAATGGTAATGTCACATTAACATTCCAGCAGTGAAAAACAACACAGACTGAATCCTCTTTTCCCAAAGAATAAAATGACAGACTACACTGATAAACATGAACATCTGCAAGACAAAAATCTGATGCCTAATGTTCCCAGCGGAGGGGATTTAAAAAAAAAAAAAAAAAGAAAGAAACTAATTGCACCTTCTGACAATCTATCATGGTTAAAATTGCTCCTTCTAGTCTGTCTGTTAACTAATAGCCTACTGAGAAAATGTGGGGCTGCCCGCTCCAGAGGGAAGAGGTGGCTGGAACTTTGCCAGGTCCTTAGAAATGATTTCTGCCAGCCTGTGTTTAAAACTGCCAGGGGCCTCTGTGGGGTTGACACGGGTAGAGGAGCCAATGGCCTCCTCCATCTCCTTCATGTCATCCTCTGCCTGTGCCTGAGTATTGAACTCTGGCTGGATGAAGTTAATCACAGGGGGCTGACACTGGTATCTGGGCTTGGGTAGGGCGTAAGGAACAGATTGGGGAAGGGTGCAGGGAAGAGGCGGAGGAACAGGTGGAGGCAGGGGTGAGGATAAAGGCTGCAGCTGGGAGTTTGAGGGAGAAATGCTTATTCTCACAGCCGAGTAGATGCACTCGTTTGAATTGTCTATCTCAGGTTTGAACGGCTCTTTTCTGACCACAGGAGGAGTGAATCTCCTCACGTTGTAATAAATGTCGTCCATGTCATCGTCCAGGCTTAGGGCCTCCAGGGAATGACACCGTTCATCCTCATCCTCAACGTCACCTTCCTCTCCCACAACCTCCTTGCTGTTAGAAAGTTGAGGTTTGACAAAAGATAGCGGCTTGAAGGTGTAATTGATAGTAGAATAATGGTTGTCAGACTTGTCTTCTGTGTCCGCAGCAACATCTGCAGGGTTGTAGACAGGAGGAGCAGGTGGTCGGTTGGGTGGGGCAGGGAGAAAAACAGGAGACTGGTCAGAAAATGATATTCTGTGGTTGCTCTTCTCCACAGAGCACTGCTCTAATATAGCCTTGAAGACCTGGGAGCCATGTCTGGTCAGGAAGATGAACACTCCTTCTCCTGACTGACAGCGACGGCCTGCTTCAATGCTGAACCCCCCCTGTAATCACAGCAATTAATACACATCTTAAAGAAATAGTGGTACCACTTTACAGTACGACTACCCTTATAAAGGATTTATGAATGGTTTATAACTAGCTCATTAATAAGCTTTTGAACACTTTATGAATCATTCGATAGCTGTTATAGCACATTAGATAAAAAGGGCAACAGTGACTTGTTGCTTGCCAAATAGTGAGCCCACATTTCTCTGTACTGTTAAGCCTCATATCTCATTAGTTACTAAGCTTTCTTTGTTTTCTCCATCATCCAGCGTTTATGCCTGCTGCTTCTTTACATATCTGTTAAGTGACTAGCAAATAACAACAATAATAATAACACACTCTTATTGGTTAAATAATAATAAATAATTAATTTCATTCGGCACATCAAATTATGGCAAATGAAATGACCAGATTCAAACTCTAGGTCATTGTTGTCCCTTTTATCTAATGTGTTATAACATCTTATGAATGATTTATAAAGTGTGAACAAACTAATTAATAAACTAGTTTATTACTACAAACTATAACTAGTTTACTAAACCAATCATAAATCCTTTATAAGGGTAGTCTTATCATAACAGTTTGATATTTTGAGAAATACAAATCCAAAAAGCATATCCTTTCCAATTTTAGGGGAAGTACTTTACCTCAACCTGTCCGAATTTGCGCAAGAGTCTGTATGGCCAGCTATAGATGATGTCACCGGTACTGCAGGTCAGCAGTACCAAAGCGTCTTTATCTGGGGAGACCAGATACTCCCTGGCCAGCTTGCACCTCCTCGATGCTTCTGTGCTCTGGACAGTCACTTGGTATTGGTTCGGAGGAAGGGTCAGATCTAAACATGAGAAGATATGAAAATATTTACAACTTCAAAATGACAACAGACTGAGACCAGTGCAGCATGACTACACATGAAAGCATTAGATTAACTATATGAGGTCTGAGCAGCAATGCATCAGCAAAGGGAATAAATGCACATCAAATATATTCTCCTAGAGAAACCAGCTGCTTTAAAGTTGTTTGCATTCTACTAATCGCTCCATGTCACTACAGGCAACCTGGATTTTTCAGCAGAAGTTTAATCCATTAGGAAATAAAAAGAAATACATTTGTATAAGATAAAGCTTGCTGACGCTAATACTGATGGTTTTTCTAAATCATTTTCAGATTGTTTGACTGCTTGTGCATCTTGCCCCCGTGTGGCATCTTTTTAGGGACTGTACAAAAATTTTTGGTGTGTTTTCACTTTGTAAAAAACCAAGGCCCTCACCAGGGTTATTAATGTTTTCTATCCCACAATGTGTCAAAATAATATAATAGTGTCAACTTGGTACAACATGTTTAATCATGTTCTTCAATTTAAATCTTTGAACGTGCACCACCAATGTACACAAGAAAAAATTATGAGTATGAAAAAGAATTTAGGACAAGAATAAAAGAGTCTCCACTGCTCTGCCAAAATAGTCAGACTATGGTACTTTCAGCCAAAAGAAAAATTACAATACGTTTTTGTACAGTCCCTTAGCAATGGCTCCGTGTTCCCAGCAGTTGAGTATAGTGTTTAATTAGTCATAAGAAAGCCAAGAAAAACTTTGGACATAAGAAAATGTTATAATATTTTAACTTAACAACCTGGTAGGAGAGTTGATACATCACACTCTGCGCACATTCACTAAACACCTTTTCTGAACTGTTACTTTTGATTGCTTGTTGACTGATCAGCTGTTTGTGTTACCAGTTTTCCAAGATGAGTAAAGGTCATTGTCCTCCATGGTCAAACCATTTCCTCTCTCCAAACCCCCTTTGTCTGTTTCTCCAGGATCCTTCTGTAAACACAGTGGCATGGTAAATATTACACAGAGAGTAAACCAACCTCTTATCGCTGTTTTATGATTTCAAAGTGGTAAGATGCATGAAACAGCAAAGCTTGTGCAAGCACAAGAATTAGAGAAGTGAAGTGACAGAAGTTGCAGATACTGTATTAACTTCCTCATTGTACTATCTATCTCCAATTGTGGATAAGGTTTATGTCCACCTTTCCTAAATAAGAACACTACCACTGATATAGAAAGGAAAAGGAGAAAGCTGTACTGATCAAGAGGAGAGAAGTGTGATACCTGGAAGGCCAGGAGACAGAGGGCACTTAGCCAGTCCTGGCTTGTTGTAGAGGCCAGAGTGTAGGTGCATTGTGTGGTTTTTAAGTAGAAGGCCGTGCACCCTTGGGGGCAAGACTCCTTTGGAGCAGGGGTGACACTCAGGCAATCACTCAGACGCACCACTTTTCTCTCTGGTGTTTTCTGCCGAGTGGCCTTCTTCTGGTCAGTAATAGCATTGTTGTCGAGTACGGTATAGAGCTCCAACCGGCCAACCCCTGTGGAACTGGGTTTAAAGAGCATCAGCCATATTTTCCTCCACGTTCTCTGTTGCAGATGAGGGGACGGGGAGAAAAAGTGACTGTTAGTAAGTGGGTTCCTTGTCACAGTTAGTGGCTGGTTTAAATCTCACATAACAAGCAGAGAATTTGTTTATTTTGGTTCTATTTCGAGAGTTCATTCTTTTCTGTCTGTACGCGCTGCCATGTTGCCACATCATCAGCAAGTATGGCATCTGTTTCTACTATAACACAGGTGACACACAGCTCTACATTTCTACCACACATGAACCTAGGGGTAATTTTAGATTGTGAACTTAGATATTCACATTCAGAGCACCACTATATGTTCTATCACTTAAAGAGTGTTCAAGGTCACAGGAGATTTGTGAAAACCAGGTTGCGCTTTAGTATATGTACATCTTTATTATTGCAACATATTAGAATAATTCATTTACTGTTCCTAAAATGTCTCAATTGGCTGCCGTTAAGTCAAAATAGTTACTTTAGTTCAAGTAAAAGTTAAAGTATAAATAACATTTTCTTGGTCTAACTTGCCTTTGCCTGTAAGAATATTTCATGTATGCTTCCTCCACTAGTTTTTTCAATTCATTTTTTATTGTATTTTTGGTTTTAATTATTTCCCATATCTGCCAAGTCTGTTGTTGTTTACACTTCCACTTGTTTCCTGTTAACTTCACATCTTTGTGAAGCATATGGTTTCATCTGTTTCAAATGTGCCATATACAAAGTTTGTTCTTCTGATTATTATGCAATAGCTGAAAAAAATAATCAACAAATACAGTCCTCTGCACATTATCATACTGCTACTGCTCTATTTTGTTAAAGGTATTCCAATGACAGATCATTTGAAGCATTCTCATAGGTGCTTAAAAAAGATTTCTCTGCGCCAAATTTGTTAATGTCTGTGCACGCATTGGCTTTGGATATGATATGCTCCGTGTCAAGACTTTAAAACTCTGAAAAACAATTGTATCACCATCTGTGCATTTGCTTATTTTAACTAAGCAGTTAGTGAAAACACGGCAAGCTGCTCAGTTGCCGTACTTTGAAAAATAAACAATACAGGGATAAAATGAGCCACAATATTCTCACAAATACGCTGAATGTGAAATTTATGTAAAACTTACTTTTCCAAACTTGACTCCCTGAAGGTACAGCATTCCTTCCTTGAAGATGACATCCATGCTTGCAAGCTTTGTCTGTATATCTTTCACTGTAACAGCCGTTGCTCGGCAGTTCAAAGATGCTAAAATTGGTTTCCTACACGACAAAAATAATTGTTTCCTTTACATCACCAGCAGCATTCATTCTGTCATCTGCTTGGGTATGTCTATCAGGGCTAAACGTCAAGATGTTTCTGATCTGCAATGTAACTGTTGCAAAAGATAGGACCCACAGGTTGTGTGTTGCTGTTTTCTTGAGTCAAACTTCCCTTTGCATTATTCTGCTTGTTTTAGCAACTTCCTCACCAAACAAAACTAGTACCACACCTTTCTCTTTTTTCCAGATAAGAACAGAAAAGATGAACAACAAATACATTATAAGGTGGTTTTATTTACAATTATCAGTATCAGAGTATCAAAAATGTATGTTACAAAGGCAGAACAGAACAAGTATGAGAGAAACTGGGGGAAAAGGTGCAAGGAACTGAAAATCTTATCTAACAGACCTGCAAACAATGACAGCTGTTGATAAAAAAATACACTTCCTTCATTCGATGACATGACACATAAGTGTACGATTTCCTCAGAAATGTCTCTCAGTTCCATTTGGCCTTGGAGAATCTTCCCCCTCATTAAAACCCTCTTAGAAGTCCATTGAGCTATGAGCCAGGTAGTCTTTCCGCCCGATGTTGGTGACCTGCTTGGTCTGCATGGCCTCCAACTTGGGACAGTCTGTAATACGATGACCAAGACCACCACAAAATGTACAGCCCCTCTCTCCTGTGAGAACACAAATACCAGGTACGTTAGAAAGGGTTTGCAAATATTCCACACCTGCATCGGTGTCTGCGAAATTGAGATGATCAGATGAGATCAGATGAGAGAAATATTTTAAAGTTGATATAGAATGAACCCCAAAGAAAGAGATGAAAACTAGATTTGGTGTGAAAGTCTCACCTCCAATGTCCAGCATGGTCTCGTCTCCGGTCTGGAGCACTTGGAGGACAGGTGGGACCTTCTGCTTGGCTTCAACTAGCAGGGCTTTCAGGTCCATCAACACTGACTCATCTACACCAGAGGAAAGGCATGCACTTACTGTTAATTTATCGCCACTGGGATCAACTAAATTTACTATAATACACTGCAAATATTCTGAAAATCATTAATTAGACTGATATTTTTCCTCACCACAGCCTTTATTGATGAACGTTGTGGCGATACCAGTCTTGCCTGATCGACCAGTTCTTCCAATTCTGTGGACTAAAGCCAGAAAATTCCAACAAACCAGCTTGAGCAAAAACACTGAGGCTTAGATATTGTACTGATTTTAAGGGGGCCAGGTCATGGACCTATCCTCTTACCATAGTTTTCTATTTCCTCAGGCATGTCATAGTTCACCACATGCTGTATAGCTGGGAAATCCAGACCTTTGGAGGCAACGTCTGTGGCAACTAAGACATCTTTTTTTCCCTCTTTGAATGCCTCTATGGCCTTTGTTCTTTCCTCTTGATCTGATAATAAAACACCAAATATCACATTAACGAAACAGTATTTTGCAAGACAATGACAAAGTGGAAAATGTGAGGGAGGAGTACGCAGTTCTTTGGAAATGTTTACTACACTATAAAGCAGAATTGTGACATTTGCAAGCAGGGTGGCATCTGGTGGTAATGATGAGCAACTACATCAAAGCTGAAGAGTAAAGTCTGAGCTAAACTTGATGTTGGGTTGGAAAAACCTCCAGATACAGTAATCCTCTGCATGCACTATTACTAAGTCCTAACTGCTATGTATGTTAATGATTAGAATAGAGTTGTGCGTACCTTTTCCTCCATGGATGGCCACCGCCTCCACGCCTTTTAGCAGCAGATACTCATGGATGGCATCTACATCAGCCTTCTTCTCAGCAAATATCAGCACCTGTCATATGAAGACAGAATATTTTGTAACGCCTGACATGTCTGAGTTATGTATTTTAGATATTTGCCAGTGTCATAACATGTGGAAGTACTGACAGGAGGTGGTGTTTTCTGCAGGCACTCTAGCAGGTACACCATTTTGGCCTCCTCTTTGACATATTCCACTTCCTGCACACACACATACACAAAATTGAAGTTCACAGAGTTTTCACATCAGTGGGTTTTTTTTTTTTTTTTTTAATTTGAATGCAATGAATACCCCTGACAGCACAAACCTGTTACAGGGAAAGATGAACATACCTGGATGACATCCAAGCTGGCAGCACCAGCCCTGCCTACATTAATAGTGATGGGTTTGACCAGTGCACTCTTGGCAAAGTTCTGGATCTTCTTGGGCATAGTGGCACTAAAAAGCAGGGTTTGCCTTTGTCCCTAGATAAAGAAATAATATTGTTGCCAGGATACAGTTTTAAAGGTAAGACTTTGGTTTTGTAAAATGTTCTAAATCTTCTGCATTGATGAAAATGGTTGCTGTCATAAAGGAAGACCTCACCTTGAAATAGGAGAAGATGGTCCTGATGTCTTCCTCGAAGCCCATGTCAATCATCCTATCAGCCTCGTCCAGAGCCAAGTAGCGGCAGATGTCCAGACTCACCATCTTCTTCTGCAGCAAGTCCATCAGTCTGCCAGGGGTGGCCACCATCATGTGGACACCACTAGAACAAAGACGAGACACACATTCAGAGGAACCCAAAACACTATTTACTGCTTAAGCTTTTTAAAAATACACTATTATTAATATCTGGGTTTTGAGGTGGCCATGCTAAATGTTTTATACTGCGCAACACATCAATCTTTCGCCATTATTGTTCCTCTATAAATAATTTAATGCAGCTGAATCCTGCTTGTTTTTGTTTGACACCAGTTTAAACTGCAAATTCTGAATAAATCACAAAGTTTTCATTCAAACTTTCCCTCTTACTTACTGTTTTACTACCTCCATCTGCTCCTTGACAGACATTCCTCCAATGCAGAGGGCAGAGCGCAGCTGAGGTGCTCCCTCCTCCTCAAGCAGCTTGCAGTAATACTCAATGATGCCATGGGTCTGCCTCGCCAACTCTCGCTGGAGTAACGGGAAAGGTTTTAAACTCAGATTTGTTTAGTTGCAGAAAAATCTAAGGTTGCTCACAGTAAATGTCATCTGTCTAGAGTGCAAACAGCAAGAAATACTGTATAATTATTTGGGCCTTTGATGGGCCTAATTACAATTAAATGCAATCTGAAGCTCCTAAAATTTTGTCTCTACAAAATACTACTGTGCACATGTACACATGAAGGACAGCATTTAAGTCCTTTTTTGTAACCACAAATCAGACTGCATTAATGTACTTCAAGCTGCGGTATTAATGATATAGCTTTGTCTTGTATGTCTTACTGAAGGACAGATGATAAGTCCATATGGTCCCTCTCTCTTAAAGAATGGCAGCCTTTTTTCCTGTTCCAGGGAAAACATGATGATGGGCAGAGTGAAAACCAAAGTCTTTCCTGATCCAGTGAACGCGATGCCAATCATGTCCCGTCCTGACAGACTACAGACAAACAAAGGTCAATTTACGAACCATTGTACTTAACCATAACATAAAATTGTTCATTTTACAGTGTTTGCACTCCAGAGTTCCATTTACTCTACTTACACTGTGGGGATTCCTTGGACTTGAATTGGTGTGGGATGCACAATCCCCTTCTTTTTCAAACCTTTCAGAATTGCTGCAAATGCAATGAACAGACATTTGTTGCCAGTTGTTAATCATGTGTCACCAAGACAAAGAGTGTGAGAGAGGGAGTGTGTTGTTACCTGGTGGAAACTTCATCTCCCTGAAGCTTTTGATTGGAGGAGGGATACCGTCTCCATCAACTAGGATATGAAACTTCTTCCTGACACGCTCATGTCGGGTGTCTGGCATGTTCAGGATGTAGCGTGGTGCATTCCAGCTAGAGAGAATATCCAGGTTAAATAAAAAGTTTAAAAAAAAACTACACGTACACGCGCAAAATATTGCTTTACAAAATTCACTGATGAAGAACTTACCTTGTTTTTATTGGATCATCATATATAATACCTTTGGCCATTTCCTTCACAGACATCAGAGCTGATAGAGGAGAGGTGAAAGTTTCCAGAATTAGTTTTGCAAGTTTAAACCATTTTGAACAAACATTTTTATCAAAATCAATTTGGCTAATAATTCAACATGGCTTCATAGGAATTGCATAGTGTTTTCATTTTACCTCTGCCCTCTGCAACGCTCTCAAGAATCTTCTCTTCCTCTTTCAGCTGCTTCTCCTTGGCTGACTCCTTTCGGGCTGAAGATACAAAAACACATCACAGAACCAATATAGTCATGGAAAATGAAAAACAGGCAGTCCTTAAAAATCCAGATTGTGCCCTGTTTGAACAGGATACCTTCTGCTTTTTCCTTGAGGTGCTGATGCTGATCAAGGAGACTGATATTGGAGCGTGGACCGAGACCCTCGTCCTCGTCCCTCTGCTCCCCCCCACTGTCCTTCTGCTCCTCGTCCACCGCCTTCCCTCGCAGACGTAACATCTTCTGTAACTGTGACGTAAACATGTTTAAAAAATGCATTAAATCTGAATATGTGGTAACTGTATGTGATTTTGATATACATGAATAAAATAAAAATACAATTGTATTTTAAATATCATAGAACGTTTCCAATGAATAAATGTACCAAATTTTATAATGACATTTACAGAACCAGCAGATTGGAGCAGATCAGTCCATCGCTATTTATTTCTTAAGTGTCACGACAGTGCACAATAACTTACCATTTGTTGTTTTCTAATCTTGACTGGAACGTATGGAACATAATCATCATCCTCTGATCCTTCTGAGCCAGACCGTTCATCCTCCCCAAGGGATCTCTGTACAAACATATTACCGTTATAGTCTTATAACCTCTGCAGTGCAGCAGGGCCTTGGAGAAAACTTGGTTATCCAGTATACCATAAAGCAAACAGCAGCTAGTACAAAATCAGGTACAGTGCAACGTATTATATGTGATTGATCTGTATATACTAAAGTCATATACAGCTATGCTGACATATGAAGCACTGTTATTTGGTTTTATAGTATACATTGCTGTACGAGATTGTTAAATTGTAAACTTTCATTC